AAAGAGGAAACACATGGAAAAGAACAAAAGAACATCGAAAATGACATGGAAGCTGCAGTTTATACATGATGGGCAAAATAATGGCCCTCTTCGTGCTGGTTTGGGTCGTTCTTTGACCTACTTTGGGGGATGAGGTAACACATTACGAGCAGTGATAACGATCATTATACATACTTACTTCCCTGAATGCAATGCGCCTGATCACCCCTTTCCATATTCGTTCTTCAGGGGCAGAAGCACGATTTCATATTGAAGGAACGGATTGTCTCTTTGAAAAGAGAGAGAGGCAGCAGTACTAGCGAGTCAACACAATACAAGGCAGGATAGTCATCATCACAAGGGCAATCAATCATACAGACAGAGCAGTACGAAGTCTTAGAAGGCCATGGGGGAAAAGATATGGGAGCTTTTCAAAACAATCCTCATACAGAAGGACCCCCCCATAATCCCATTCTGGTCTCAAAAAGGGCCCCCTTCTGAATGAGAAACTCCCGTATCAGCGACAGCATTGAGGAGCCAGAAGCATGTGTGATACATCAGGAGAGGCAAGCAAGCGTACCTTCACATTATTTCTATACTTTGGGAAAACATCTCTACTACTACTCCTGCTACTTCTACTTGCCACTACAAACGGAAGAATTGCTGTTAAGTAGATCCCGACCTTCTAGCCATGTTCGGAGCAGCCGAGCTGATGTGCTGCCTGGCCTACAAGGAAGCAGCTGTTTCCAGTTTAGGATATAATCTACAGGTGCTGGTTCAAGAGTGTAGGGTTGAGAGTTGGGGGTTAAGGGATAAAGCGGGATTGTCAGATATCTAGGTTTCTAGCAATACCCGCAGGCTCACCCTCACCGGGTATTTCCTTTAGCTGTCTAGTGGGTCACGCCGCTACGGGCGCCCCATAAAGACCCCGAAGGTGAAGACTGGGTGTTTTGTGTGCAGACCCCCTATACATACCCCATTTCAATGTAGTAATGTAGTAGTTTCCATTTTCTTTTCCACTATTATGTAACCCCAATATAGGATCCTGTTGTAATGTAGAAGTTTCCATTTTCTTCTCCACTCCTATAACCCTAAACCCCTGATGAGATTAGAGGAGGCAAACATATGGGCCAACTCTCACTAGTTCTGTTGACACCTGAGCTATAGTCTAAATTCCTCACAGGGGGTTATATGGGGGATGCTATAAGGCACTGTTATGGGGGTTATTAAGGGGGATACTAGGAGTTTAGAATGCAGCTCACCTGGGTTGACACTTTCAGGAAGATTTTAGGGACGGGGTTAGGCCGCGGTGCTCGTGAGGTCGAGGTGTGAAGGATTTTCGGATTTTTTCGTTGCTGGACCCAGTAGCTGCTGTCACATGCTATTCATCTACACTCCACCACTGTGTCCTGGCAGATTCCGTGCTCAACATGTATGAGCCTGAAGCTGATAAGATAGGATAGCAGCTAGGACAAAGGTATTGGGGGCAAGAATGAAAAATTCTGCTTGAGGATAAAAGAAATAGTAATTGATAATCGGAATAACGATAGTAATCGCAATAGTAGCCGCAATAGCAATGACAATAGTACTTAGACAAAGTAATAGTAATAATTTGGGTCATTCCCCCTTACAGCAACTGTTACCACAATAGGTTATAGGAGTTATAAGAACCCCTTAAAAAGGCCCCTTAAGGAGTGTTACTGGGAGGGGGAATGACCCAAGTAATAATAGTAGAAGACCTGAGCTGTAGCAAGTCCCAAGCAGGCCAGATGCCCAGCGAAGCGGCGCCCGAGTGTGCATGTCAGGATCTTACTACTACATACTACGATTCAAACTATGACGATTACTATGGCTATTGTGACCATTGCTATCTCAAGGATCTTCTTCGGGAACACTGTAGACCCCCAGTATCTAGCAAGGTTATATCATCTTTTTGATATCGTATTTGTGAGAAGAATGGAGGCTTACCTTGTCCACACACCGAGAAACGCTACTAAGATGAGCGCTCAAAATTGCACACTCAAAGCCTTTAAGCATTGCTTCGCGGGGTCCAGTGCTTTGGGCAGTCTAGGTCCATTTCGATTGGTTTTCCGGACGATCTGAGAGGCAATAGGGTACTGTACCTTCATCAGGTGGGTACCTTCACCCAATGCCTTGCTACAAGGAGGCAATAGGGTAGAGTACCCTCATGCTGGAGGGGATGTGCCACAAAGGCTTCCCCATACCTTCGGGTTACATCCAATTTTGAATTCACAGGTGCTATGAGCATGCCATGGTGGGCCTCATCATGAAGCTGCCGTCTCAGTTCCTTTGAAGGCTAGCCACGTTGCTTGCAAGCAGGTCTACCATGTTCTGAAGTTGCCAACGCGCATGCTTTCGGACATGATCGTGATCAGGATCAGCGTGGGGGAATTCATGTCAGCAACCAATTGTATAGCCTTCGACGCCGCAGCCCCGCACTTGGCCGGAGCTTATTTCCCTGGCTGTAGGTAATTAGGCAAGGCAAGAAGCCTTGATGTCCGGGTACCGCCAAGACAGGCAGCTGCCTGGCACTGCCCGACACGTTCGCAGGGATGACGTTCACAATGATCCAGGAAATCCTATGAAGCCTCTTACCAGGTCCGTCACGGGCACTGGGCCCAGGCGACGAGTCCTTGAGCAAAGCCCAGTCACTGCTTTCATGCGGGAGATCGGGCTGGGGCAGTATGCCCAGGCGCTCCGGAACCATGGCTTCGAGGACGTGGAGACTCTCATGGGAATGCGGGAAGAGCACATGCGTGAACTGGGAATGCCAGCGGGGCACATCGTCAAGCTCAAGAGGCACTTGCGCGAATTTGACACAGAGCAAATCTTGGCCACAGCTTCGCCGAGTCGGACAAGATCAAACATTGCCCGAGCTCCGAAGTTGGAGTCATCAGGCACAGCCATGACAGCTGTGCAGCTCAGCTGGCAGCGAATGAAGGACATGGGCTTGGATGTTGCTGGGGGCCTGTTCTACAAGAAGTTTCTTGATCTGGACCCATCCGCCGCAGCCTTGTTTCCACTCAAAGTTCGCTTGCGCTACCAGAACTGGGATACCAACCACCCTGAAACGGATGACCTGTCGGATTCTCCAGCGCTTCAAAGGCTCTGGGGCCGCTTCATTGAAGTCATTGGCAGTGCAGTTGCTGGGCTCCAAGACACGGCAAAGATGGTTCCCATGCTGCAGCAGCTTGGGATGCGCCACGTCGGGTATGGCCTCAAGGTGGAATACTTCGACCTTGCTGGCGCAGTGCTGCTCGATGTCCTGGCAGAATGGCTTGGTGATGCTTTCACCCGCGAAGTGGAGAATGCCTGGGTCATGGTCTCTGGTTTCGTGATTGCCACCATGTCTGCTGGCTTCACTGCTGCAGCTGCCGAAATCAAGGCCCGTGAGGGTCACTTGGGATTGGAGCCTCCGACCCCATGCTCCACCGACGGTGGCGATGGCTCGATCAAGATTCCCATTGACAGGACAAGCGAGGCTGGAAGTGCCCGTGTTGGAAGCTCCGTGGACTTCGGCATCCACACTGCCCCGAGTCCAGCAGCAAGCCTGCATGATGTGGGATCTGTGCATAGCGATCACTACTCGGCCGAGGCCAAGAAAGTCGATCTAAGCCAGAATTACCCTCCGCGGCTGAAGAAGCTTGTGGACGGGTCTGCTGGCGGCCAGTATGGCATAGAATGGATACTCTCACCCCAGTGTGGCCGTCTTGTGCACAACAGCCACTACAATCCCCAGTGGCGCCTCCAATCCCTTGGCCCCAAGGGAGATTTCTCCACACGCTCCGTCACCTACACCTTCATGCCAGGCCAGGGTGCAGTGGGTGAATGTTATGCAAAGAAGGCACCCATATTCTTGCAAGATGTGGCGAGACTCAATCGTCACCTGTCCACACCATTTCAGCGTGCAGATTTGGCAAAGGAATTTGGGGTCAACTCAATCATGTTCGTTCCCTGCCCTGATGGTGTGTTGGAGATTGGTTCCACGGAAAAGTTTACTTCGGCCGCGGACTTCCTCCCTGCCGATCTCCTTGCGGAATCTTCCTGATCTGAGCACGGAGTTGTGCGCCGGGCAAGTCGTGGAGCCTGATTCATCCGTTTGTGTACGATGCATTGGCCTTTGGCTTTCCCTCGAACATTACTTGTTCTTGATGCTTTCCTGTGCATTTGCTGGACTCCACTTTGGGCTCGAACAGATAGGTAATATACGATAATTTACTATAATATAGCATACCATATCATACCACAGTATATTATAATATACTAGAATAGACTATAAGTTTTTTCCAGCCAATTTTCTCCAGGAAGGCCAGAGGACTTGCCGCCGAAGCGCGTGCAGCTCATCTCAGGAAGTCATGCCAAATCAAGACGGCCTTTCCACAAGCGGGGCCGGCGAATACTTGAAGAAACCATTCAAGTCTGATTACCATGCTCCCACTGCTTAATTCGGTTCTACAGCCAAACTGTCCAAGCTCGTAAACTTGCGAGGTTTTGATTTCACTGATTTGGTTGCTCTTGAGAGGCGCACTCGTGGCAGACGTGAAAAATGATCCTGCGGCAGATTGCTGTCAGCTTTCATGTCATTGTGCTGCATCTCTACAGAGGCTTCTCAACTGGCTGTTGCAAAGGAAGTTTTCCGAGCCATCCTGCTGAGTCTGCAACGAGGAGTGCTGCGCTGTGCGTGCTTGTGCTGTAGCATGCTTGCATTCCCTTGCACGATCTTGAAGGCTATGCACAATCACATGTCACCAAGTCTCAATTGCTGCAACTTAAGTAGTCGCTGCCATGCAGGCATGATCAAGCATGGAAAGGCAGCCCCTGCAAGCAGCACTGGCCTACCAGCGCATAGCATGCCGTTTCGACGCTTGCATCATTTGATTGATACTTCAGGCGAAGGTCATTTGAGAGATGAACTGACTTCTTCAGGTCTGGATCTCAATAAAGAATGATTCATGATGACTTGAGATTGTCTGACATTCATTTAAACAACTGGCAGAGCCATGTCGTTCCCGTTGCCTCCTCTGGCCAGAAGGAGAGACACGGATTTCGACGTTGGCATTTTGCTTGGCAGAGGCACCTTCACTTCCGTCTATGCTTCAGTGGAGAAGGCCACTGGCCGTCGATATGCCATGAAGGTCGTGGATCGATATAGGTGTGAGCGACTCAAGAAGACGGCGGACGTGTTTATGGAGAAGCATTGCCTGCAAAGAACCAACCACTGCAACATCATCAAGATGCTGGGATGGTTCTCAGACAACACAAACATCTATGTGATGCTTGAAGAATGCCTGGGCGGCGAACTCTGGGAAGTAATCAAGACGGTTGGCTGTCCCGTCGCAAGAGCCCGCTACTACTTCGCACAGCTCATCAACGCAGTTTCCTACTTGCGCGATGCAAGAATCGTTCACAGAGACTTGAAAGCCGAAAACGTGATGCTGACGGAGCTTGGGGTTGTAAAGCTGATAGACTTTGGCACCGCCAAAGACCTCGAAAATCCCCAAATCAAAGGTGCGGGAAATGCTTCGAGACACAAGGTTTTCGAGGACTATGTGGGAACTCCGCAGTTCATGCCGAAAGAGGTCATTGAAAACAAGTGCAGCGACCATCGCTCAGACATCTGGTCCCTAGGATGCACCTTCTTTCAAGTATTGAGTGGATGCCCGCCCTTTCATGATAGGTCAGAGTATTTGATATTTCAGCGAGTCATGGCCCTTGACCTGGTCTTTCCACCCGGCATTGACCCTGATGCGCACAACCTCATCACGCAAATGGTCGTAGAAGACGCAGATGCCCGTTTGGGTGCAGCCAACATCGAGGACGTTAAAAACCATCCGTTCTTTCAATCCCAAAGTTTCGAAGCGATTCATGAGAAGCCGGTGCCCATGGTGTCGCTGGCTGACTTGTGCCTGCAAAGGATTGGCAACAACATGAAAGAATTCACAGAAACTTTGCCCCAGTGGTCGGGAGCGTCAAGCCTGGTTGCCACGCTAAGAGAGCAGTTGGATCGCATGCAAATGGCGCACAAGTGGCAGGAAGATGTGCTTCCCCCTGAAGATGCATGGTAGGGCGGTCAGTGCCGAAACTTGGCACGCTACTGCGGAGAGCGGATCATGCCGTCTAAAAAAGCAGAGTGGCTTGCCAGTCACGTGCAAAGACTTCTGGGTGAGTTTTCAAGGGCGGGGCACCATCGGTACGCATCCACCTCAATCTGACATCTGCCTCTTGCGCCCCTCAGTGATGTGATCTGCTGAGTCCTGGGTAGGTTTTTCGGAGCCGTCAATCTTACAATGATGCCTTTTCGAATCTGGAGGACTCCCACGCCTGCTGAAGCCCCCGGATGTTGGCTACAAGCGCAGGCTCCAAGTGCTGGTCAGAGGGGTCAAAGCAGAGAGATGCTGTGAGTACGGCTCAAGCTGCCAGGGGCCATTTGATCCAGAGGATTTTAGTGATACCGTACCTCTCAACTCCTGAAATGCCTTGGCAAGACGCGCAGAAGACAGTTCCCAAGCGTTTTTTGAAGTCTTCCCCACTTCCTTAGACGATGCAGGCCCCCCCCCTCTCTCCCCCCCAAAAAAAAGAACAACATGACGGCATGAGCCATCCTGCGCGCAGCTGACGGGACTTGGTTTTATGACAGTGCCCTTTCCATTTTCCAGGGACAGCATCCTGGCGATGAGTGCGATGCGGTCACGTTTGGCAAGCAGCCGATGATGCACGAGCCTCGAGGACAATGCCCCATCTTGTAAGCCCGAGGGCAGGCATGTCTGCGCAATGTATCTGACGTATGCTGACGTCCCCTCGATTTGATTTACATGTAGCAGGTTGACAGCGCATGACATATGATGGTGATGTCAAAGAGAAAGACACATCGTCACGTGCTACTTTGTAAAGTGAGATGTGAGTTCTGTGCCATGCAGAGAAGCACACGCACATTGTGCGCGCCAGATAGAGAACACGCGTGTCAGCCAGTGCAATGTGTACTCCGTGGGCACCAAAGCGTAGTCTGAACCGCACATCCCGTAAGCAGCCGACAATACCGAACATGACGGAAGCTTGTGGACGTAGGGCCTTTGCCCAAAGCTACGGGGAGTTTGAGGCAGTTCTTGAAATTCAGACCATTGCCAGTGCCCCAGCTTTGCTCCTTTGATTCTTGCACCTGGGACACGCGTTACCATGTCTCCTGCCATTCCTGGCAAGTGCATGAAGTTGCCGCTCATATGCAGAGATTCCTCCTGCCCCCCCTAAGCCTTGTGCAGCTCGGTTTGGGCTGAGACGCGTACTCTCCACTGACTCTACCACATCGTCCACATCTTGCAATCAAGTCGAGCTGTCACGCTCCCTGAATCTTCGACTAGCTGCTGGGGTGGTCTGTTCCTGAGGTTCCAGGGCTGGCATCCCCGTTTTTTTGCCAAGCTCTTGGTCAAAGTGTTCTGTGTGGTTGTCATGTGCCCCCTACAATCTTCCTAGTGCTATAACCCATCTAGTTCCAAATGCCAGCCAGGTCTGCGCCCCGGCAATGGAAGCCGCAGTGCTTGGAGCGCAAGATGCCGCCGCTCCACAAGAACCTGCCCGCTTGAGAGTGTGCCCATCGCAGCATGGAGACCATGTGGGTCATGCGGAGTCAGTGCCCAAAGGCCGGCATCGACTTCAACGCGTGGCGCCTGAAAATGCTGGGGTCCATCTATACTGCCTGGCAAGCTGCTGTACAGGGCATGTCGGGCATGATACATGCTTCTCGCATGCGGCTCAAAGCTGTGCTACGTGGGCGCCTTGCTGTCCTTCCGCGGACTTGGGCCTCAGCCCAAGTCTGGGGCGTCAGAAGCAGCATCCAGGACTTGAGATGTGTTTCTTCATTCTCTTGATTCCATTTCGCGCCATCCTGTTGCGGGAAGGCGTGTTGGGGTTTGATCTCAATTTTCGATGCCTCATCGGCACAGCCATTGCTTAATCTGGGAAATCCAGACAGGTCTGGGCGCCGATTACCGGAAACCTTCCACTCAATATGACCAACATGCACTCTCAACTTGAGATCCAGCAGGGGCTGACCGTCTGCAGCAGCATCTTGCAGAGTAACCTTGCACTGCAGTCGCACAGGGAGACTCCTTGCTTCCAAGCATGGAACGTGGAGCAAGGGCAGGCACAGCTTTACTGTTGCACCATGCTTGTTGTCGAAGAAGTTGACAGCACCTTCGCGGTTTACATGCAGGGTGGAAGCCAAACCCCAAATTGGTGCGGCGCCTAGACGGAGGTGTTGGATCACCAGTGTTTCTGTTGAAGGCAGGAAAAGTCACACGTGCTTTCTTGCACAGGTCCGGAAGCCCAAGCTTATGCAAGCTGCAGGGCACGTTGGGGAGGCCAGAACTTTCCGATGCTAATCATGTTCCCAATGGTGCGACTATTCTTCTCAACCATTTGGATGTACCCAGTACACCCTGGCAGAAATTTGAAAAGACAGCCTCTGTGAATGGTCACACTCGGAACTGCATTGGGAAATATTCTGGGGCCAGAACACAGCTTTGGGCAGGAAGTGACGGACTCGTCTTTTGATTCTGCCAAGATGGTGGGCGAAGAGGACTCTGCCAATCCTGGTTTTTGGTGCCGCCTTGAACACACAGCGGATGGTGTCCTGCCTGTTGTGTTGCCTCGTTTGTTCTGAGCCACGTCAGTGTGTGAGGACGCTTGCATCACTCGAAGTCGCACGAGGGGAGGTGCAGCTCTAGTGTTGCACCATGCTTGTTGTCGAAGAAACTGGCAGCACTTTCGCGGTTTACATGCAGGGTGGAAGCCAAACCCCAAATTGGTGCGGCGCCTGGACGAAGGTGTTGGACCTCAAGTGTTTCTGTTGAAGGCAGGAAAAGTCACACGTGCTTTCTTGCACAGGTCCGGAAGCCCAAGCTTATGCAAGCTGCAGGGCACGTTGGGGAGGCCAGAACTTTCCGATGCTAATCATGTTCCCAATGGTGCGACTATTCTTCTCAACCATTTGGATGTACTCAGTACACCCCAGCCCTTAACCTCAAACCCCAAATCCTGAATCCCTAAGCGCCCTGTAGTGCAAGATCATCAGTCCCAAAACTTTAAACCTCAACCTCAATCGACGGTTAAAGGCAGAGCCTGCACTGACTTCCAGTGAAGGGCTGGACCCTGCGCCACAGGCACCCCGTACATGTGTTTCCCGTGTAGAAACATTTTTTTGGCGCGAGGACATGGCAGAAATTTGAAAAGACAGCCTCTGTGTATGGTCACACTCGGAACTGCATTGGGACATGTTCTGGGGCCAGAACACAGCTTTGGGCAAGAAGTGGCGGACTCGTCTTTTGATTCTGCCAAGATGGTGGGCGAAGAGGACTCTGCCAATCCTGGTTTTTGGTGCCGCCTTGAACACACAGCGGATGGTGTCCGGCCTGTTGTGTTGCCTCGTTTGTTCTGAGCCACGTCAGTGTGTGAGGAGTTTGACACGCGCATCAAATATTACATGATGATGAGATGCGCGAGAGTCTGACAGAGGTATTAGGTAGCAGGAAAGATGTAGCTTGCGATGGTGGGTCAGATTCTGGAAGATCCTTTCAGCATTGCTAAGGACAAAGCATACCACGGCAGTCTCACCAGCGTGCATTTGCAAAGCCCTGGATGCCGGCAATTTTCCCAAAACGCCTCGGCCCTCGCAAAGCGAAATGTGGACATTGCGAAGTTGTACGTGAAAACCCAAGTGCAGACCCGAGCGTGGAGCGGACGATTTATTAAGAAGTTGGGCAGGCCCCTTATGTTTTCTCGCTGGCTTACATTTGTTGTTTTTTTTTTTGGCGCTGGGTACAGCGTGTGCTTTGTAAGTGTTGTGAGAAGAAATCTGGCTGGTAACATAGCTGCTCTTTCATCTTTACGTCCTGAATTGCAGTGGCTTCCAGCACGTGATGAAAGTGAAGCTAGACTTGCCATTTTGGCATGGCAGGCTTAGCAGGTTTGGGCAAAGATGCAAGTTTAAATCAATCCAAATCTTTAACATACTAGTGAGAGCACAACTACCATGTGCCCGAGAAGAAGAAGCGTCTGCGTTTGTCGCATCATGTTGCTGCCGATCTTGCTGCAGCCACTGGCCCAAAGTAAGCCCGTTCCACGTCCAACAGGCCTGAAGACAGGGACAAGTTCTTTTGCTACAGACATTCTCAGCCCAGCCCTGCCGCGGATTTCAGCATATCCAAGCACAAGGCTCAGTTTGAGCATCCGTTCCACAAAAAGCCATGGCCGTGGACATCGACAACTCCGAAGGCAAGGGGTGTGGCGGAAGTCAAGAAAGTCGAGCATCCTTGACTGTAGTCTCCCTACATGTTTTATCCTCACTATCGTAGGACCCTGAGGAATGATCAAAGGTACCCTTCCTATGGGTCTAAGGGGATGACAGTTGCAGTGACACAAGCACGGAGAATGCCTAAACCCCAAACCACGCGTTCGCGCAGACGGAGAATGGCCCGACAACAAAATATACCCAAAAACCTAAACCCTACATCCTAGACCCTAGACCTTAAACCCGAAGCTATAAAAGCAGAAAGAGCCTAAATGCACCTGAACAGGCAAGTTGCCGCTGGCCCGGCAAAGGCCGCAAGATGATGCTGAGGAAAATCCCAGCCAGGCCCGGAAGCAGTGCTTTGCAGTAGCAACAATGGCAGGAGTAATAGTAATAACAATTGTAATAGTATTGATAATATTAGTAATGATAACAGTAATACTGCTTATAATTAATGATCACGGTAAGAATGAATAGTAATAAACGTAATAGTAGTAATGGTAGAAATAGTAATGCTATTGAGGTGTTTGAGTTGCTTGCCCTCGCGGAAATTTAGCAGGTGCAGCAGCCCTTCGATAAGTACGACGTGGCTGAGCGCTGTAAAGAGCTGATGAGACGAGCCTCAAGCATGCTGAGCCCCTGGAGCGCTTCTCATGAGCTCAGAAGGGGAAGCGCATGTGTAACGAATAACCCCAATATAACCCATTATAGTATAGTCCCTATATTACTCATTATAGTAGCTTCCATTTCATTTTCCATTATCCCAATATGACCCCAATTTTA